AACCCTCCAGGCTCCAACCTGCGGACCACTTAGCTGTGCTTGGCGACTGTGCTGGCTAGACCTCGGGACAGGATGTGGGGAGGGAGATGGGGCCCTGTATCAACTACCAGTGCTGCAATGAACTGGTAGCTTGCCAGACTGGGAATGAATTTCTCTTTTCCAACCATTGCTGTCAACTCCCTGTAAAGAGGGTTTCCCCACACGCTTTCAAGGGGGAGGAGGTTGATGATCAGCATCCTTACAATGGGACAGTGCTTTTGACCGAGGGGTTCTGCTCTTGTACGGAACAAGAGCTGTGAAGAGAAGGCATGGGGTCAGTTAATGCAGTCTTGCTGTAAAATTTCTCTCTGGTGTGAGGCTGAATCCACACATGTTTGCGGTGGGAGAGCTGAATCCTAGCATGAGGCTTTAGCATGCTTCTCATCTCTCCCTGAAGAACCAAGACCAGGAGAAAAGCTGTCCAAATCCCCCTCCTCTCCCTCTCCCCAGTCAATTGTATCTGGCTCCGAAATGATGGGGCACACGAATGGACTTGCAGTGCAGCCCGTGCTTGATAGGTCATTACTGCTTTAAGTAAGATATTAACAGCTTTGACTGCAGCATTAGAGCAATTTAAATTGTTTAAAAAATTTAAAAGTTCCCTGCGGACATGTACTTACCATCAGTTTTGATGTGGAAACACTGTGATATATAAATGTTGTTGGACAACAGTAGTTTAAAAATGAGTGGAATATAGAGGGTTAAAAAGTTAAAAAGAAAAAAATGGGAAAAAAAGCTAGCTATATCCTTATACTTATTGGAGACACTTTAACTTTTTCCTTTGTATTTTCATTGTATTAGATAAATAAATGTGAATGTAAAATTGTATAAATTAATGTACTTGAATACTTGTCTGTTCTCCCAGTATGCTTGCTGGATATTTTAGTGCCTTGGACTTCTATTGCTTCTGCAGTTAGCGTCGTCTTCCCAGCAGACCCCCAGGTGGGCAGAGGGCAAGTTCAGAGAAGGACGGATTATTCGTACCTAGTGACTGGGACATTGGAGTTCATTTAGTGATACTGTTACTGTTTAGAGTAGGGTACGGAGGGGGAAGTCACTGAGGGTTGGAACAGCTTCTGTGTGTTGGGGAAACTTGTCCAGGTGGGCAGATCTGAAGTTGCTGGTGTGACAAGGGCCAGGTGGGGGTGGGACAGAGGGTTGTGGGTGAAGCTAAAACGAGACAAACCAGTATTGCCTATGGGGCAGGAGGTCTGGATCAGAAATGGAGGAAGGATGGGGAGAAACATGTATCTTTGGGAAAGGCCCAACTTAAGATGCAGTTTGACTCCATCTGCGAAGTGGTGAAGATGTTTGGTCAGGATGTGACTTGAGGGAGAGGTGCCATTGCTCGTTGGCATGGGCTTGTCTGCTGGGATTGCTTTTCTTCTTTTCTTACCTTTTTTTTTTTTTTTTTTTTTTTTTTTTTTTTTTTTTTTTTTTTTT